GTACCAGTGTGGGTAGTACCAATGTGAAAATGCTGTGCTGAGTGGTTATATTACTACCTTAAAAAGCAAGCAGAAACTCGACGTTTCGAGCGAAGGCCCTTCGTCAAGAGTTATTTGGGGATTAGTCGCACTTTAAGCGGACACAATGGCGAGGTCCCAAATAGGGGTTTAACTGTGTTAATAGTTTTGCGTGCACGAACTGTCGTGACTTCAGTCAATCGATAGTAAAATTCTATTGATGCGACAACAACCACAATACAAATTAGATTTTGTTTATTATTATCGTTGTAACATTTTGCTAATATAATGTACTAGCGTGAATTAAAAATATGAAATGTAACTAACGATGGAAAACGTCACATTGTTCAAACATAAACGGACTGGTCCATTAAACAGAGCAACTGCGTTAACCAAATTGGGCAAACCCGATAGAGTACGATCACAAAGCTGATTGGTGTCTTAATACCACCACGTGCAAAGAAAAATAAATATATATAATTTTCTCCATATTATAAAAAGCACTTACTGCTAATTTAGATGTTTCCTATGTATTTAGTCTTCCTAAACACGAGGACGTTATTCAATTCAAAGATTTCCTCCTACTTGGATATTGATTATCGCTATCAGTAAATATTATCAAATTTAAAACATTCTTTAACCATTCTTAAGGCAATATTACCTCCGGGGTGGTGGTGGCGGCGGTGGCGGTGCCCCTCTTGATGGTGCAGGAGGTGGTGGAGGTGGTCCGACTCTTGGCCCCGGGGGAGGAGGTGGTGCTCTCTGGACTGCACCTAATAATGCATAAAGACATTAGCATATACATGTAGGAACGTCCGTATGAAACGAATTCATTGAGGCAGAGGTGGAAAATTTTTTCTTTCTTTCTGGGGACTTGGGTTTAGGGCTATTTTCCGCAAAAGATTGCAATAAATGGGGACAAATAACTAAATTGTCACTTGTGACTGTCTTACAGTGTTGTCGTGTGAAGCAATGTACATGCCTTTGGACTGATAATGCATACAAGATACATCCTGATGTAGTCATAGTAGTTATTGTTGGGTTTCACGAAGGCATTATGCAGTTAATCTGACGAGGGGCCAACCTCAAATGTATTAATGCATATGGTGTGCTAGAGTGAGAATATGATACGAAATTCCTTGAAGGTCCCCTATACCTCTTCACAATATGCTTTCACGTAAAAATATTTTGCCTTTTCACGAGTCACGAAAAATTGAAAAAATTCCTTCACGTTCACTGGTTAAGAAAATCATCGATCACGTTTCACGGCTAGGTAAAATAAGCCCATCATGTTTCACGCAAAGAGTATAGGGGGCCCTCTTCCTTGTACTTGCCAACAAACACAAGGCTAATACATAAAACGAACAATCGACTCACTCTGATAACTGTGTTTTGTTTTAGAGTTGACCCCTCGTCACTTCTGTGACCAAGCTAGAGTAGTCTTAGATACAAATTTCCTACTGCAGGCTATATGAATTTTTTATCTAACTTTCCGCTGTAACTTAGGTATCGATATAGTAGATTAATTAGGTATAATTTAGATATTCAATCGGTGTAATTTTCAGAATTAGCTGTCAAACATAAAAACATGTCTGAAAAATTCTGCAAATGTCGATCCCCAAATATTTCTGCATTGGCGTAACCAGAATTTGAAATACAAACCTTGGCGTGATATAATTCCTACATTTTTTCAAATATCAATCGGAGACTATTGTAATAAGTGAATACTTGCCGAGTCAGATTTGTTAATGAATATTATCGTAAGTTTAATATGACGGAGATACGGCTGACTAAGCCCCGAAAATTTTTGAAACAAATTTAGTAATCTCTATGATCCTACCATTAGATCATTTATGTGACTCCAATATGAAATAAGCTTCGGTATATCGGAATCCTTTTACCTCAAGTTAAGTCCCTTCTTCAGAAAACACTAATCGAAGAATTGCTAGAACCAAAAATAAGTATTGGCACTTCCCATATTTACCATGTTCCACCCTCCCTGCCTTGTCACTCCGCCCCCCTCCTTGAAAGCCCCTTGTTGTCGTCTCAGTTCTACGCCACAGGAGTATGAAATATTATGTGATGAAATCACTCGAATATATGAACTGAAACGTAAACAGTATAAACAAGATACTTGATACACAAAATCTAAAATATGTCTTAAGAATAAAAGACATCTTTATGTTTTATCTTACCACTTCTTTTCAAAACAAATTTCAAGTGACATATGCAAAAGTCACATTTACTGCCTGGACCATTTGCAGCTCAAGCAACCAACCAAATCACGCATACGCTTACTCCGCAATGCAAAATCTGTGCTATTACTCTTACCTTTTTCCTTAGTTTTATTCTTACTAGGATACGTCTTCAGAAAATCTTTATAAGGCTCCGGAGGAGGTAAATCCGTGTTAAAATTAAATCTCTTTTCAAAATCATCTGTAAATAGAAAAAAAGCTCACTCAAGCCGTTCCTTTGCGGAATAACCCGTTGATAAAAGACGGCAAGCAAAATCAATCTTTACATACATTTACCAAGAATGGCACTAATCCTCAAATTGCGGTGCCCAAACGACGTTAAGCATCGCTTTATATGCGCTGCGCAAGTTTGTTCGGAATAACGAGCCTTGTTATTTATTAAAAATAGGTACGCAGTGCGTACATGTTGCATGCCATCAAAACAATGAAACCTCATTACTCATAAAACTATGCAGAAATCCATCTCCATTGCTTCCTGTATAAGTACTATTTGTCATGATTTGTCACTCGGCAAGTACCGTAAACAGAAGCAGTCACTCCCCCCGGCACTGAACAAAGACAGACAGACAGAAGGTCGATTTAGAGTAACTGCTGTCACGTCCCAGCCAGTGCGTGCCGAAGAGGCATTCCCCCCTGGACGTCTGTCATTTTGAATATTATCAGGGGGTGAATGCCTCCCAAAAGCGCATCAGCCAGGACCATGGCGTCAGCATTTTGATGATAAATTACGATCATGCCAAAATCATTGGAAAATCATAGGAAAAACCAAGAAATTGGGCTTCTGTATGACCCTTTCTGTGCCCTGGTTATAATGCGCTACCGCTTATAACTTTTGGTACAACTGGCCTGAAACTTAAAATATTGATTCAATAAGTTTAATATCAATATATTTATTGAAAAATAGCTATTATGTCAAAATAAGCAAACTTAAGATTCTCACGCGAATATGAAATATGTTTTTATGAGCGACTGTTCATCGGTAGTTGCAAGCGACGGTAATATAAACAAGCCAACAAGGTCAATGTTTTATCGAAAGCGATCAGGACTGTTAGGTTTCCTTTAGTATTTTATAACTAGATAATGTTATTTCCTTTAAATATGGCTTTATGGTAGCTTGACTGAAAGTATAAAAACCCATGGAAACGGTGAATTACTATACATTGAAAATAATTATTAAACTATAATTCAAATTATCGACGTAGAATCTATGCGTAGAATGCTATTTCGTTGTATCAAATTTCAACAGTATTAATCAGAATTTCGTTTGATGTTTTTAATATATTTCATGTTATTTACAAAATGTACTGTAGTTTTGAAGTTTTGCAGACAATATAATCAGTGTGAGCACAATGACTCCGTTTCAATTTGAGCATATATATATATATATATATATATATATATATATATATATATATATATATATATATATATATATATATATATATATATATATATATATATATACTGTAATACAAAATATTCTCTTGGAATTATGTCATTTTGTATATTATAATTTGTATATGGCTTGTGTTTGCTTAAGATGTGCTTTATCCCCGAAGCACCCTTAAAACCAACCTCATACCCTGGATCTTTCTTTGGGAAAGACCCTGGCTGCGGCTGGTCACGTGCCTCATCAAAAATTTAGCGCCCGAGGGGGTGTGGGGAAAGTATCAAATTACATCAACATGCTTCCAGTGGGATATTCGTTAAAAACATAAATTTTGCGAATTATTACGTTCAAAATACTTGCTAATTTTTGTTTATTTTCTTTGCTTTGAATTTACAAGAACATTCTTACATTCTTACTAACAGTCAAGTCAAGAAACAAAGCAAATCGTTACTCGCAGTACGTGCTCTCTCGTGTTGCTATTCAATGCATGCTCTCTAAGTTCACAATCAAGCGCGGTTGTAACAAACCTTTTACAGTAATATGTAATGTTTTTAAAATACACCATAAATGATTACATTCGTCCTTTCTTGTAAACCAACATACGCTTTGTACCGATTCACTTGTTACTACGCGTCTTGTTTATAAGATTTTTAAAAGAAACAGTATTGTCTAGGACTGACCCAATATTAGCAAATGTAAACATTTGATAATAGCCGGACAGAGAAATGTCTATAAGTAGCCTACAGAGCAAATTTCAGTCATTGGTTTATCTGGATTTAGTACATAATTCGTATTCGGTAATTATAGTAAGACTTTAGCCTTTTTTGGTCTCTATTAATCATTATATTGTGTTAACATACTATAATCTATATCACAAATTTACAGTGTCAGATGCGCACAGACCGTCATTGGCATCATACGACTAGACATAAATTTTCGAGTTTTCTAGCCTGCTTCTACTAACATTTTTAAAGTTTTCATTGTGAATCACCTGTTTATCTCTAATTCATTAATCATTTACTACTTATATTTATTTGATAGTGTCATATACTGAATAATGCGTTTACACACAAGCAATCCTGGATATGATATAGACGATGCAAGCTGTCCATTAAAAAATAACGGTATTCTATTTCACACAGCAAAAATTTAAATCTCACTTGTATTATTAAGAATGCATATACAGCAAAAAATTAAAGCTTATTCATGTCAAAACGAAAGCTGTTTACAAAATTTATAAAGGTGGTAAACACTACTAAAAACAGTGCTCATTGAAAGACATGTATAATATAGTGACATATAATTTGTCGTTTGACTTATCTTTGCAGGTGTATGATTTTAATACCGTAGATTTTCAACAGACAGCTATACTTTGACATATACCATGATCGTTGGTTTCAGCAATGCCAAGGGCCAATTTTATAGTGTTTTGACGGGCTTTAAGTTTTTTTGATAAGGCCTTTATATAGATCAACAATCTGGATACAGTTGGCGATATTTCGGAAATCAAAAGATCTCGCTATTTCGTTGCAATTCCACATCTCATCAATAAATAAATTCTTTTCGTCCGAGTATCAGGATAAACTTTAATACTAATAAATAACAACCACACTGTTCGGTCTGGAGATATATATTTTCTTGTAGGTTTAATATTGCCACGCTGCACAAGCGGCAAGCCGCCGCAAGCGTGCTTTCTTTGGCAAGTCTATAGAAATCTGATCCAACTTGCTTGAATTGTAACTCGACACCAGATTATAGAGTAGAACGTCTCGATATAAATATTAATTTAAGAGTTCTCTTTACGATTTCTTGTTGCAAATTTACAGTAAATTTCATCACCCAAAGTTGCAATTTTAAAACGCTACAAACACGCTCCTTTCCCACCCCTCTCACAGTTACAATTAAATTTACCTCCTAGAATCTGGGAGGCACGTGACCAGCCGCAGCCAGGGTCTCTCCCGGATGACAGAAGGAGAGACCCTGGGAACGAGGTTGCTTGCCATCAAGACTTTTCGTGACAGGCTTGTAGCAAGCTTGTTAACAAGTTGTGAAAATGCTGTTCCAACAACTTGTCATCAAGACTTTTCGTGACAGGCTTGTAGCAAGCTTGTTAACAAGTTGTGAAAATGCTGTTCCAACAACTTGTCATCACGACTTTAAATTTTCCCGACAGGTTTGTAGCAAGCTTGTTAACAAGTTGTGACAATGCTGTTCCAACAACTTGTCATCAAGACTTTTCGCGACAGGCTTGTAGCAAGCTTGTTAACAAGTTGTGAAAATGCTGTTCCAACAACTTGTCATCAAGACTCTTCATGACAGGCTTGTAGCAAGCTTGTTAACAAGTTGTGAAAATGCTGTTCCAACAACTTGTCATCCAACCTCGTACCCAGGATCTTTCTTTGGGAAAGACCCTGGCTGCGGCTGGTCACGTGCCTCATCAAAAATTTAGCGCCTGAGGGGTGTGGGGAAAGTATCAAATTACATAAACATGCTTCCAGTGGAACATTCGTTAAAAACATAAATTTTGCGAATTATTACGTTCAAAATACTTGCTAATTTTTGTTTATTTTCTTTGCTTTGAATTTACAAGAACATTCTTACTTACAGTCAAGTCAAGAAACAAAGCAAATCGTTACTCGCAGTACGTGCTTTCTCGCGTTGTTATTCAATGCATGCTCTCTTCACAATCGAGCGCGGTTATAACAAACCTTTTAATATTGTAATGTTTTTAAAATACGCCATTACATTCGACTGTCCTTTCTTGTAAACGTTGATACGCTTTGTACCGATTCACTTGTTACTACGCGTCTTGTTTATAAGATTTTTAAAAGTAACAGTATTGTCTAGGACTGACCCAATATTAG